TCTGTCAGGCAGCAGCAGCCAGCTGTGAGATGTGGGTAATGACTTCCTCTCTTTCTGCCCTTGCCTCCCCTTCAGAGGGCGTGCGGGATGAGTGGTGACCTATTAGGATGCCGTTAGGGTAGATGACATAGTGCAAGGGCATTCTTAGAGCCCTCACAGGGAGCTCTTATGAGTGTAAGCATCGCTGCTGCCAAGAAGAGAGGCACCAATGAGCCTCACCTGAGTTAAAGAAACATGCCACCGTCATCCACATCACAGTCACCATCACTAACCACGTTCATCAGCTGTGGCCATTGTCATTATTGCCATCTTCACTGTTATCACCATCATATCCATCATCGCCATCATCACCTTCACCATCAGCATCATCACCATCATCACCACCATCAACACCACAGTCATCACCATCATCATCACCATCATCTTCATCACCATCATCATCTTCATCACCATCATCATCATCTTCATCATTATCTTCATCACCATTACCATCATCACCATCATCATCACCACCATCATCACCATCACCATCATCACCACCATCATCTTCATCATCATCATCACCATCATCATACCATCATCTTCATCATCATCTTCATCACCATCATCATCACCACCATCATCACCATCATTTTCATCATCTGTGGCCACCGCCATTATCGTCACCCTCGCCATCACCACTGTTCTCACCAATGTCGCCCGTATCTACCATCACTCATCCACACTATCATCACCACTATCACTAAAGTCACCATCATCACCATCACCATCACCACCACCATCTTCACTACCCTCACCACACTCACCACTGTCATCATTATTTATCACCATGGTCCTGGCTAGATTTTTATGTCAACTTTACACAAGCTAGCATCATCTGAGAGGAGGGAGCTTGAGAAGATGCCTCCATGAGATCCAGCTGTAGGGCATTTTCTCAATTACTGATTGATGGGGGAGGGCCCAGCCCACGGTGGGTGGGGCCGTCCCTGGGCTCTGGTCCTGGATCCTATAGGAAAGCAGGCTGAGCAAGCCACGGGCAGCAAGTCAGTGAGCAGCTCCCTCCATGTCCTCTGCATCAGCTCCTGCCTCCAGGGTCCTGCCCTGACTTCCCTCTGTGACCTAAAAGTATAATTGGTGATGCACCCTCCCTGATCCTGGTCTTTATCACAGCAATATATTCACTCAACGGGAAGAGGCAGAGGTGGGATTTGAACTCAGGTCTGCCTGCTACAAAGTGGTGAGGTTCTGGCCCCTAGCACATTCCACATGTAGTTAATCCCACTGTTAGCGCCCCCAGCCGTGTGGAAGGAAGTGAGCAGACTGGCTACATATCCTTGCTCAGGTATTTTCACAAGGCCATGATCATAGGAGGAGACCCCACTGTGCACGTCCAATGAGATCCCCCTCTTACTAAAGTTCCAAGGAGTAAGATAGGAGGTCCTGCTTCAAAACAGCTACCCCACCATGAGCTGGAGGTGGCCTCAGACACAGGGAACCTGGCTCTTCCTGAGCAGGACAGCTTACAGAGGGGCCTGAGTCACACTTCAGATACCAAGCCTTCTAGACAGAGTCTGCTAAATGTGGGTCTCAAGACAATTCAGTGGCTGTTTCCCCCACAAACCCAATTATCTATTACAGGGCCCTCTGTAGCCCAGGCTGGCCTGGAACCAACACGTAGCTGAGGATAACACTAAACTTCTGATTCCCCTTCCTCTGCCACTGGAGTGCTAGGGTGACAGGCATGGCCACCATGCCTGGATTTATGTGATGCTGGGCACAGAACCCAGGGCTTTGTGCATTGGAGCCAAAGACTCCACCTACCGAGCTGCGTTCCCTAATCTTCATCACCCCTTTAAAACAGTCCCCATTTGCTCCATCCTTCACCCACACACTCAAAGCCAGAGGGTGGAGGTGACCGAGGCCATCCCCTGTGCCTCAAGGGGGATGAGTCAGTGTGGAACAAGCCCTGCTGGTCCCCCCCCCCAAGGGAGGGACGCAGGAGGTGTCCTCAACCACTTCTCCCACGGTTCTGCATTTCCAAATCCACTCCCTCCCGCAGAGTGTCTTCTTGGGTATCCCAAAATAACTTCAGAGTCACAGAGCTCAACATGAGCAAGAGCTGGCTCACAGGTGAACCTCCCCCGCCTGCAGCCCAGCCAGGAAGCTGACTCCACCACTGCAGCCACTGGCCACGTGCCCACCGTGGCCACCACTCACCACAGAAGGAGATGATGTGGCTGCTGTCTTCGTGGACAAACTTCCGGGTAACGGCCTCCTCCATGATCTGCTTCACCTGCAGGATGCACAGGGGTCAGGGAGACTGGTTGGATGGGGTGCTGCACCCCTGGGCCCATGCTGTCCCCCACAGAGTGTCTTGGGTGTTTGGGTAACCCCCTTTTTCCTTCCACAGCCTCTTGGTCTCAGGCAGATCTGTGGCTGACAGCTACACACTGCCCATTTCACTTAATTTGCACAGTTTATCACCTCTTCCAGATACCACACGAAATGCCCTCCCCTGTCCACAGATCTCCAACACAGATCCTTCAAAGGATGCTCTGCCATTCCTGCTCTGGTTCCTGTGGTGCCGATTCTGCATCCCCTCTCCAGAGTATAAGTCCCCTGCCTTGCCCTTGTCCACAGTGCGTATTAGGTGCTCAATAAAGAACCCTTGGATGTGCGGTGAGTTCGAAGATAAAGGAATCGGGGGACAGTCAATTATGAGATCCTGGAAACCTGGGATCAAACCCCTGCTTCCCTGGACTTGCACCCCACTGTGCAAAGCCTTTCTTCCTGGGCCTCAGTTTCCCCACCTTGAGTCTGAGGTCAAAAGGTGATCCGAATGCCTACGCCAGAAATCCATCACAGGACCTCTAACACAGGGCAAAGGAAGCCAAGTTCATGACAACCCCCCCCCCGCCAGCCCAGTGAGACCCATTCAGTTCCCTTGCAGCCCACCACACCCCACCCAGCCTGAGGTGACCACAGCACCTGCAGCCCCTGTCTCTTCCTGCAGGCACACACAGGACTGAGCATCACCAACACTGTCACATGTCACTAAGTGCTCAGAGGCAGCCTGGCAGCCACAGCCTATCCACCAGCGTCAGCATCAGCCCTGTGAACTATGACTGGCTTGGTGGGAAACCAACTACAATGGCCGGGCTCCACCAGGAGCCCTTCTGAGCCTGAACCCCTCTGCAAGGCCCAGGGTATCACCCTGCGTTACAGATGTGACATTGGGATTTGAACCCAGGGCCTCAAGTATGTTAGACAAGCACTCTAACACTGAGCCACACCTCCAGCCGGATCTTCCATGAATGCCATGGAAGGAAACCAGAAGTCAAAGGCAGAAGGGCAAACAGGAAAATCCACAAACGTGCAGAAATGAAACAGCTTATCTGCCAGTCCAAGAAGCCCCAGGAGACATTGGAAGAGATCTTGAGAGAAATCGGAACAATCACAACATGGCCTACTAGATGTGAGACCCACTAGGTGTCAGACCCACTAGATACAGGAGACTAGCTCTGAGAGGCGAGTGCAGTGGGAAGCCATGATGTTAAAAGGAAGCCTTACCTTTACTTCTTAGGAACGAGCAAACAGGAAGAAATAACCCCAAGGCAACAGAAAGAAGGAGATAATAAAGACTGAAACAGAGACGAAATACAGGGCCAGCAAGATGGCTGAGTGGGTAAAGGTGCTTGCTGCCAAGCCTGACTACCTGCGTTCGAAGCCCAGGGACCCACAAGGCGGAAGGAGAAAGTGGACTCTCGCAAGTTGTCCTCTGACCTCTGCTAGCATGCCATCACACAGTAAATAATGTAAGAAAAGCAAATAAATGAGAAATGAAAGAGCAGAGGTCTGGACACAGCCTGCTGACCTTGCATGACCATGGCTCTGCCAGGCTGATGTCCCCTGAGCCCTGGCCCAGCCTCCCTCCCCCCCAACAGCTGGTCTAGCCTGGGACAGCTGAGGGACTCTGCTAACTGGCTGACACTCCATGCCTCTGCAGTGGCTGCTGTGTCTTAGGCAGGCATGGTTCTGCTGCCAAGGTCCTCATATTTTTCGGAGGCAGCCATCTGCCTGTCCCGCCACCCCCCCCCCCCGCCCCCGGGCTTCTCTGACGAAGAAGCTGTGCTGCCTGCCTGTGTGTGGAGACACCAGGCCCCATCTGCTCTGTGTCCCCAAAGGAAGCCATGAGCCTCCTCAGGACATGAGGCAGGTCCCCAGCTTTCTCTCAGGGCTGGGGGAGGGGGGCGGGCACGCAAAGAACCAGCCTTTGTAAGTTCTGCAGTGGGCACCCTCAGACCTGCCCTACTCTGCTTTCTAGAATGTTCATCTCCCTCTATTCCTTCCCCCGACATTTCTCTCACACCCCAACTCTCTTGCTGTGGCGGGGTCTCCTCCCCGACTGGCTTTGTACTGTGTTGTGTACTCCCCCCCCCCCGGGCTGGTTATTTTAAAACACTGTCTTCTACTAACTTAGAATATGATCCTACTTGGAAAGAAAGTACTTAAAATTAGGTCATTGTGGTCCTCATGTGAGGAGGGAAAGACACAGGACAGATGGTCCAGAGGGAAGGTGGCATCTAGAAGCCACCGAGAGAGGTCTGGAGGGTCCTTCCTTCACAGCCTCCAAAACGGCAGCACATTCCTGCTCTGTGTGTCCATCTGTCTGTGGTATTTTTGTTACAGTAGCTCAAGCAAATGAGACACCACTCTCTGCAGCATCAGGACCCACGTCCTCCTCATCTCTGTCCTTTGCCTGTACCAATGATGCACCCAGCTCCCCAGCATGCCCTCATCCCAGGCCCCACTCCTTGCCAGGGAAGCCTCAGGCATCCACAGAGGGACCACTCCCCTCCGTCTACCTCCCCTCATGCCCCTTCCTTGGTGCTGAACTCATCTCCATCCAGAACAGCTGGGCTGTGGGAACCAGAGGTGAGAGCTTCATGGGAAATGACAGGCGCCTGCCCTGAAATCACAGCCAGGTGGGGAAAGCCCTCCTCTCATTGGTCAGATCTGAGTGCAAGGCAGGGAGGAGAGTGAGCTGTGGGGATGGGGCCATCCTGGGGGCTTTGGGGACCAAGATCGGGACTGGATAAGAGGCCCATGGAACCACAGAGGTTCAGCTCAACTCTTGGCCCCTGCCCCAGGCTCACTTTAGATGACCCGGGCTAGGGATGATCACCAGTTCTCAACCATGCTTAACCTGTGTTGGAATATCAAAAAGGGAGACTTGGGGAGGGGTTTCCACACCCCTTTTCCAGGGGGAAGAGGAGCAGTGGCTATGAGAGAAGGCATCGTCCGAGCCCCCCAGGAAAGAAGGAAGCTTGTCTGAGCCCATCCCCCATGGTTGCCCCCTGAGCCCCCCTTTCCTGCTCCCTCCCCATCTAGGTCACCACGGAGGGTGGTGCTTATTCCTGGTCCCTGCTGTCCCCCTACCTGCCTGAGAACTAACTCCTTCCCTCTCTCTAGTCAACGACCTCTTCATTAAACTTTTTTTCCCCAAGAGCAGTTTCGGGGAACCATCTGTTTCCTATGGACACCCTGACGGGACAGTCCACACACACACACACACACACACACACACACACACACACACACTGAACCAAATCCAAAGCCATCTGTTGATGGGCCCTGAAAGGAAATTCAGAGAGGTTGAGCCCCTCCCCTGAGGTTACACAGCACACCGCCCAGGGCGGTCACATGGGGCGGGGTGAGGGGCTGCTGCAGCAGGGGTGGCTGTGCAACTGTGACCCTCCCACCTGGGCTCATCTCCTACGCCCAGCTAAATGATTTCTCAGAAGCTGATGGCAGGCTCAGCCCGAGGCCAGGAAAGGAAATTAAAAAGGCTGTGAATGACGGCAGGGGCAAAGCTCTCCCTCCCACAGGAAGCCACAGGAAGTGCCCTCGGAGGACGGCACTGTCTCCACACGGGAGGCACAGAGCCCATGCCCACTCTGAGGGAGAGAAGCTCTCTGGACAGACCAGGGGCGGGGCAATCTGGGGAGGAGGATCAGAGGCCAAAGCCCTTTGCACCCGGCAGGCTCCCAGGTGTGGCATGCCCCATCTCAACCCGAAGACTTAGGTTCACGAAGCCCACAGTTGCTGGGGGCAGTGGCCCTGGGGTGACATCCCGATCCTTAGGGACTGCGAGGTTTTTTCTTTTTTTAAAGCTTTGGTCTTGAGCATGCAGGGTGATGGAGATGCCACCCCAAGCCCACAGAGACCCCGCCTGAGCTTGCTAGTCCCAGCAAGCTGGGTCCACTCTGCTGGCACCTCAGGGTGCCCTTCTGTGGCTGCCGCGGAGACGACATGGGTGGAAGGGCCACCAAGGCAACGTAATACACAGTAGGCACCTATTCATCTTTGAGGAAGGGTCTGAGGTAGCCCAGGCTGGCCTCCAACTTTCTATGTAGCTGAGGGTGACCTTGAACTCCAGATCTCCCCGTCTCAACCTCCCAAGTTTTAGGATTGCAGGCCTGAATCCCCGCTCCTGGTTGTGTGTGGTGTTATGGATGGGATCCAGGGCCTCCAGCTCACCATCAACTCTACCAGCCGAGCTGCATCTCCAACCGCACACTGTCCCCACTCGCCCAGGTCACCCCAGAAACTGTGCAGGTACAGCTATCCTGGTGAGGTTCCGGGGTGGGGAAACTGAGGCATGGGATTTCTTTTTTCTTTTTCAGGTAATTCACCCCAGATCCAAGGAGAACAACCCGGGGTCCTTGTCTCACAACAAGCTACTGACAACATTTCAGTTTTAAGGAAGAGAGAAGGCATGTACTATGGCCTTGCTGCGTACTCGATGCTCACACTGGCATCATTGTCTTTACATATGTAGGCACACAGACATAAATGCTGTCAGAACATCCACACACACTAAATAAAGGTAATTTAAAAAAAAAAAAAATAGCCAGGCAGTGAGTGGAGACGCATGCCTTTAATCCAGCACCTGGGTGGCAGAAGCAGGCGGACTTCTGAATTCACCCTGGTGTAGAGAGTGGATTCCAGGACATCCAGGGCTATTTAGAGAGACCGCCGTCTCAAAAGAAGAAAAACAAAGGGTCTGAAACTGAACTGGGCATGATGACAGACCTGAAATTCAGGCACTCAGGAGAAGGGGCAGGAAGATCTGAGACCCTGTCTCAAAGCAGACAAGCCAGCCAGTAAGCAGAGCTGTCCAGGAAGATCTGAGACCCTGTCTCAAAGCAGACAAGCCAGCCAGTAAGCAGAGCTGTCCAGCTAGCTGGGTCTCTTTTGGGGGAAGCTAGCAGATCTGAAGCCTCAAGCAAA